ATTCAATATTTCTAAAAAACAATATTCACTCCCTCAGCACCCCCATTACACATCTGGTTAATCTGTCAATAAAACAGTCAATTTTTCCAGGTGCACGGAAGGCTGCAGTTGTGGTTCCCATTTTTAAGGCAGGTGAACCAACTGATGTAGCCAACTATAGGCCCATCAGTATTTTTCCTGTGGCATCAAAGATCGCAGAAAAAGTGGTAACTGAACAACTAACTGACTTTCTAATCTCTGGACAAGCCTTACTTCATCCCATGCAATTTGGCTTCAGAAAAAAAACATTCGACCAAAATGGCTACCTGTTATTTTATTGAAAAAATCAAATCAAAATTAGACAGTGGGAGTGCTGTAGGAGTTGTCTTCTTGGATCTGAAAAAAGCATTTGACACAGTGAACCATAATGTTCTTCTTTCAAAGTTGTCAAATTTTAATTTCTCTGATGATGTAATCAAATGGATGGCGTCCTACCTCACTATGAGAAGACAATACACTAGAGTTGGGAATAAGCTGTCGTCATTCATTGACTGTTCTGTTGGTGTCCCGCAAGGCTCAATTTTAGGCCCTTTATTATTTAGTTTATATGTTAATGACTTGCCACTTGTATGTCCTGAAGTTGAAACTCAAATGTACGCGGATGACACGGTTATCCTTGCACATGGAAGAGACAGATGTGAAGTGGCAGCCAAATTAACAGCAGCAATGGCCAAAATTTCCACTTGGCTTTCAGAGTCTTGCCTGACACTAAACATCAGTAAAACTGCATGCATGTACTTTTATATAAGAAAAAATGGAAATCAGCCAGATATCCTTGTAAAGGGGGAAAAGATCCAGACTGTGTCACATTTTAAATATTTGGGAGTTACTGTCGACTCACAGTTGTCCTTTAAGAAACACATAAAGCAGGTGTGTAATACTGTCAAATTCAACCTAAGAAATTTTATATATATCCTAAATCAGCTTCCCTTAGATTCCGCCAAACTATATATGCACTCAATGATTTTTTCACATATTGCATACTGCATCACAAGCTGGTCACAAGCTGGAAAAACTACACTTGCTCAACTACAAACGCTCTATAAACAAACTCTCAAGGCACTAGACAAAAAGCCATCAAGTTATCATCATTGTAACATCATTCAAAGGCATAAACTCTTGACTTTTGATAGTTTTGTGTGTCTTGCTGATGTTAGTCTAGTGTAAAGGGTAATTAATGATTTGGCTGCTCCTCCGATCAGATCAGAGAGATTAGCACCTTTACTGGCTTTAAATCCAAGATAAAATCATGGCTAAAATCAACCCAATCATGCACCCATCAATCATAAACTGTAAAACACAGGATCATAATTCACTGATTTGTAATCTTGTTGTTATTGTCGTGTCTTAACACTGTGATTTTATTGTTGCCGTTGTGTCTTAATATTGTGAAATTTTGTTATTGTTGTTGTCTGAAGATGTTGCTCTGTGATGATGTTTTTATATTTGTTTGTATTCATGTGTGCTTGTTTGTTTTATACTATAGTGTTAGATTTCTGTCTTAACACTATATGTTTTCTGTTCCTGCTCAGGGACTACAGATGAAAATTAGCTAGTAGCTAACTCTGGTATGGCTGAGAGCTGTGCATTGTCCCTGTTAAATTAACAAATAAAATAAAATAAATAAATAAAGGGGTGACAGGGAGAGATCCCTGCCATCGCTCCGCCACCAGGAGATGTACTGGGATAAAAGGAGCGAAACATCAATGACCGGTGGTCCCCAGCTGATGACCCACATAGGCCCACAGGTAAATGGAATGGTAAATGGACCTGCATTTGTATAGCGCCCTTCTAGTCATCTAGTGACCACTCAAAACGCTTTTTACACTACGAGTCACATTCCCCCATTCACACACACATTCATACACTGGTGGCCGAGGCTACCATACAAGGTGCCACCTGCTACTCGTTTTTTTTTTTTTAAAGATATTTTTTTGGGCATTTTGCCTTTAATGGACAGGACAGGTAAGCGTGAAAGGGGGAGAGAGAGAAGGGGGGATGACATGCAGCAAAGGGCCACAGGCTGGATTCGAATCTGGGCCGCTGCGGCAACAGCCTTGTACATGGGGTGCCTGCTCTACCACTAAGCCACCGATGCCCCATGCTACTCAGTTTCAACACACTCACACACCGATGGAACAGCCATCGGGAGGGGGCCCGGGATTGAACCACTGATCTTTCGATTGGTGGACAACCCGCTCTACCTCTGAGCCACAGCCGCCTGCTGGTGTTAGTTACACTTGCATAAAAGGCACCGGCGGAGTTGCGTCAGGCAGCAATGCCCAGCACGTTGACCATCAACCTGTATCATGAAAAAAAGTGGGTGTAGCTCTGTTGAAAGCAAATTTGTAAATGAGTCTATGTGAGTGCAATTTATGCTGCAAATGGTCTGGTTAGTACAGAGAATGTTTAGATGCATGCAAGACTCTGTTTGCAGATAGGTCATTGAGCCAAAGCTCAGTGTGTAGTTTACTACTGCTTTTCACAGACAATCACAACAATGACTTAATAAACAGCATTAAATCACTATCAACCAGTTAAACATTCTTGCTAAGCCTGTACAGCTGTGATAAAGCTATGCCCAGTTGTTATGTTACCAATCCTTGAATGGATGGTGGCGTGCTGCTTTTGTTAGCTGGCAGAGGAGGGCTGGAAAGAGCTGTGATTCCAGAAGCAGTCTTTGTTGTGTCCTTTGTTCCAAAGGTGCAGATCAGAGGAAGCTGGTTGCTCGGGGTCCTTGCAGAGTTCGACGTTGGGGTGCTTACTCAACTTGGTTCTCCTTGTTTCTGGAAATCTTGTGTTTGCACACTAATTTCGCTGGTTTCCAGGTTCTGGCCCTGCTGTGGGCATGCAGGTGATGGTCCAGGAGAAAGAGAGCAAAAACATCTGGGTTGGTAAAGGCCCTGGAGGAAAGAGAGAACCTGTCTGGACTGGTCAAGGCCCAGGAGGTAAGAGGAAGGCTGAGAGTGATGGGAGCAGAACTTCTACAGTTGCCTGGTGAGAGAGTCACATGACACTGTAAAAGTACTGTCCAGTCAAATTTGGGCCAAATGGCTGCTCTTTGTTTGAAGAACAAACAACATGAGGTCTCTCACCATTTCAGATGGCAAGAGGAGACACCTTCACATGTCCAGTTCAGATTTTAACAAATGACAAATCATCTGTGGTCCAGTGAATCCCAACACAGCCTATGTGAACTTCAGATTTTACAGTGTCCTGCTTAAGGTTTTTAAGTTGTCCGTTGCATTTGTTCTCTTACACCTTTGTTCTCTTCAATAAAAATAACATCCATCCATCTATCTATCCATCCATCTATCCATCTATCCATCTTTAGGCTCACAGATTCATGCTAATATAGAATAATGTAAAATTACATGAGATGACTTAAACATTATGTTGTACATGGGAATGTTATTTTTACTGAAAGCAATATGCATGCATAAATCTAGTGTGCTAAAAGATTATACAAAAATGGTACATATATTAAAAAGTTGATATTTTCAACTTAATAACATAAGTATACTTATAAATGCATGTTTGATATTCTTTTAAAAGGGTGCATCAAGGTGCAAGGCATACTGAATGCAAAAATGTCCAGGTGCTGGAGCCTTCAAGGGTGTTGAACAATCTGATGTTAGTGGGTACAATACGATGACTGAAGTGCTGTCCTCTTGAAGAAAAATGTAGGTTGTGTCTAAAAAAAAGAAAGAAATCTACAAAACTATAATGTAAAAGGAGGTGTAAGAGAACAAATGCGACGGACAACTTAAAAACCTTAAGCAGAACACTGTAAAACATGTTAAGTTCACATAAGTTGAAAGACTTTGATGTTATTGTCTTTGTATTTGCTCTCTCAATGTGTCTGTACATCTGTGTCTTTGCATAAACCTAGCATAACTAAAATAGTACGTATGATATATTAGTGATATTCAAAGTATTATACAGAAAGATTGCTAGGAAACACAACATGACTTGCTTGAGGACAGGGAAGACATGCTAGCATTACACTGGATTTCATTAAAATGTTTAGATTATAAACTGTCAATTTTATACACTCTCAAAAACTGACTCTCAATTAATTGAACAGAGAATTAGGTACATAAAGAGTGTACAGCAAACTCAAAGGGAAATTTGTTCTGTTTTGTTTTATTTGTATATGTTTCAGCAGAATTTCTCTTTAAATTTCTCATAAACCACACAGTAAAATTACATGAAAGTTGATATGTTCATAGTGGGGGTCACCAAGAACAAGAATCCATTGAAAGATTTATCTAACCTATGAGGGATTTATTTTTGTTAATATTTAATATGAGCAAATTCTGATTATATTATGTTGCAATTTTAACAGATTTTCCCTTTAAATTTCTCATAAAATGTACAGTAATATTCCATTAAATTCCAGCAAATTCTGGAAGCAAACATCGCACCATCTGTAAAAAAGCTGAAGATGAAGAGAGGATGGCATCAACAACAGGGCAATGATCCTAAACACACCTTCAAATTCATAATGGACTCCTTCAAGAGTTTTGCCTTTTGGAAATCAGGTCATCTTTTACTTGCTTAACTACTCACAGCAAAGGAATTTTGACCAGGGGTGCTCAAACTTTTGTATGCCTCTGTAAGCGTTAGCTATTGTTAAAGGTAGCTAATTAATGCTAACTAAGACACTTATATTAATTCAAATGGTAACATCAAATTAGCAGACTTTGTCAACTTGCTTAATATCTGTGGACATCTTATTGAGTGAACATTGTCTTTAAGAGATATTTAAACAAGCCCATCATGAAAATATTCTGCTCCAAATTTTTTTTGATATGGCTCAACATTAGCAAAAATAACTATAAAATGCCCAATAATGCTATTGCTGTTAGGGTTGTAATGATGCCGTTTCCAGAATATTTACAACCTAAAACATTTAATTTCCATCAAACCATATTCCTTTCTGCACAACAAAGACCAGGTTGTATGTTGAAGGTGTTTATTTTGTAGATATAACAGTTTATTTTACATATCACACATCAGACATCATTTCATCCTTATAAATACAATTCACCAAAAACCTTTACTGTTGCGATTTAATCACAAAAAGACTAACAACACCGTTGTTATCTTATGCCTTGGGCCAAATTGTTTATATCATATTAATGAAAAGGGCAACATGATTTAAACAAACATGGCTACATTATTTTGTTTATAGCACAGTGACAGTCCCTGTTATAAAGTCTTTGGATCAATCGAGGCAGTTTTCCTTTGCTGTGACGCCAACATATTTAGCTGAATAAAAAAAACAGCGTAACAGAAAAATAATGTCAGTTTTCAATCAGATAACAGAAACTGGAAAAATTTCTCCATATGAGTCAAGAGAACCTATACCTGTTGTGTAGCAGTAGGTGTCTTTTGTTCAGCTTGTGTCAGTGGTCTCTGGAGGTGACTCATCTTTTCTTGATAATCTGCTGGCTGCCTCTCATACTGAATAAACACACACACCAATAACTTACACAAAGCCAAACACTGAAGTCAATACTTTAAAGCTTTTGCTTTTTAAAGCACTCAAGTACCAAGGAACATTATGGTCTTAGGTGCAGTGGTGCCAAGGTGCACCAGAACAATCCTCCACCCCTTTTATTCTATACATGAGTAATATTCTTAGGCTGCATAATCTGGTTAAAATTCATATAATTTTTTTAAGCACTTGAAGATCCCATTATCACGAAAGCATATAGTTTAGTTTAGTTTTATTAGATTGCATAAAACACAAGAGTACATATTACCCATGCACGTTGGCTAACACAATTGAGGATAAAAACACAACAAAGTCCAGGACTTATTTCCATTGTGGTCCTCATAGTACATACAAGGTGGCAACCCACATGTGCGGCGGTTAAAGCTCCATCAATAAAACCATACAAAAACATACACAACCATGGTCACAATAAAGAAACGAAGGGAACAATCATATTTGAGACAGATACATCTTCAAGAACTGAGGCAATTTTCACATAGGAACCTTTTCCAAAAGCCAGTCTTTTGGAAGAAATTTGAACCGTCTTAAATTGGAGGCTAATTTAATAACCAGATCCAAGCCGTTCCATTGAAAAGCCCCAATGTAAGAAAAGGATCCCTTACCGATAAGAGAGTTAAACTTATACAAGCGCACATCAGCAACACTGGCTCTTGTAGAGATACTGTGTACTTCCCTAACATGTTGAAAATAATTTATTAAAAAAGCAGGGACAGCACCATAAATGATCTTATGTACCATACACAGCCTAGATAAAGTGACTCTCGCTTCATCTGGAAGCCAGTTGAGTTCTTTAAAATGGTTCCTACCTATGTGTGACCTTGGGCCCAGTCCTAAAATCACCCTCATAAGCCTGTTTTGGGCAGCCTTGAGCTTGCCTTTGAGAAGTTTAGTTAAACTCTCAAACCAAGAGGTACTGGTGAAATCAAAATGACTTAAAATTATAGAGTTAGCTAAAACTAACATTGACTCCCTGTCAAGCAATCTGGAGGTTCTTGCTAAAAATTTAGTGAGTCCAGAGACCTTGCCAAGAACTTTGGAAGCCATAATGTTACCATCCAAACTGCTTTCAAGAATACAGCTGAGGTACTTGACAGATGAGGTAGCAGATACCGTCTCACCATTTAGTGTGACCTTGACAACTGAGGACTTACTCAACCTGTGAGCCAAAAATAGCCTCGGTCTTGCCTAGGTGCAAAGACAACATATGTCACTCAAGAGAGCCAAAAAAAATGAATGAATTCTCATTTTGACATTTACAGTGTATTGATTGATTCAATCAACTCATGCATTGAGAAACAAGCAAATGAATATTACATCCTAAAACTTGCCGGTAGCTAAGTGTAGCCTTTAACTGGCACAGTGAATTAAATTATTTTGGATGTTTCGAACGCGGCACTATTTGCCTGGCACAAGTAACAGCACCACACCTATCTTCATTTGCCATTAATCATTGCTTAATACCATGCTAATTCAGTCACTCAATCACAAACCAACCAACCAAACAACTAACCAATCATTTGTCACATATATTTGTCATATAAAATACAATTTGAGCCCCTGCACCGTTGCAGGGTCTTGTAGTCCTGTTTCTGTACCAGTCTGTGATATTCCCTGTCATTTTTTTTTTTTTAATGGATGGGTCCCACAAACCCCAGACTTTCACCCAGAAGGTGGGTGTTCACTTCCTGTATTGATGTAGAGCCAAACCATGATGTTTTTTCCTAAACCTAACCACATGCTTTTGTAGCCTAAACCTGTGTTTTGTTGCCTAAATATAACCATGTGAAATGGCAGAGCATAAAGGTCCAGGTGGACATCTGAAGATGTGAAGGCATTCTGCTGATGATGCTCTCCAGCATCTGGCACCATTTACACTGGTAAAAAAAAAACATTAAGGGAACACTTAGCGGGCGCAGCATAACACTAAGCCAGTTGAACTCCAAGGACATCAATCTGTCCATTTAGGAAACACAAGTGATTGTGAATCAGTTTCACCTGCTTTGGTGCAAATGAAAGTGACAACAGGTTGCAATGAAGAGGCAAAAGCAAGAGAACATCCACAAAGGGAAGGATTTTGCATGTGGTGGCCACAGACAGTTTCTCTCCCCTTATCTTTCCTGACTCTTCTCTGGTTTTGTGGATTGCTAGTGCCCTTGTCACTACTGGTAGCATGAGGTGGTACCTGCAGCCCAATCAGGTTGCATAGGTAGTCCAGCTCCTCCAGGATGGCACATCCATATATACAGTTGCAAGAAGGTTTGCTGCGTCTCAGAGCAAAGTCTCAAGAGCATGGAGGAGATACCAGGAGACCAGCTGTTACACAAAGAGAGCTGGACAGAGCCATAGAAGGGCATCAACCCAGCACAAAGAAAGATATTGACTAATGAACTTTAAAGGGGGCGTGGCTCAGCAAATGACTCAACGTTTGGACCAATCATCACAAAACTTGCAAGCAATGTCTTAAGAGGTACCAGGAACATATCCTGAAAGTTTAATTCAAATTGACCACTAGGGGGCACCACAAATGCAAAAAATGGTCTTGGGATCATACAAATCAGACTACACAACTTGCAGAGTATGTTTAACAATAATGATGAACCACAAGTGTTCAATTATTTTGAAATGGGTCACTAGGGAGCGCTACAAGTTCTAAACAACTGCAATGGTCTTTCTTTGGTGGATTTTTTTTAACTAAGCCATTAAAACATGTCCCCAAAATGTTTCTGCAGTTGACCACTAGGAAGTGACAGAGTTTCCAAAGAGGAGAGTGGCCCAGTAGAGATTTGGACATAAATGACTGAGCATCTGTCTGATTGTTATAAAACCTGTCATTTATCTTTAACACAAGTGTGGTAAACTGTCAAAGGTCTTGATCTTACCCAGCTTTCAACTACCATGCTGCCTTTAACCTCGGAATGGCCGCTTGCGGCTATATTTGTATTATTATTCTGATAAGTAGGGGCAGGAGCTGTACTGTATGTTTCACCATCACCACCAACCACATTTGTTTGTCTAACAGGTGAGTATTTTCTGTATGGAAAATTCAGCATTTATTTTTATATATTTTTGATATGAACCTAAAAAATGGGTTCATAGTAGTTAATATGATGCTACATGGAGAAGCAGAGTGCACATTTTTACAACTAGATTTTTTTTTGTAATACAAATTTATTTGTATTTTTTCAATGAGACTATATGATCATGTTTTAAAGGAGTTAAAAGCTAGCCCTTTGCTTGCTGATGATCTATTCTGTGGGGCAGAAGCTGTTCAAACCACATTCAGATGTGCTGGTAAATAAATGTGAAAGAAGTTGTTGTGGGATCTCTTCAGTCTGCTGAGATTGAGCCAGAAAAAGGAGGTTAAACCGTGTGATATTCTCAACATGATTAAAGTATTACAGTAGTCCATCCGATATTTGATTATGTGATCCCTCCGTCTTTCTGTGCCTGCTCCTATTATTCTCATCACTATTATTTCATCCCTAAATAGTTATTAGTTATTGTTATTGCTGTTAGTTATTTTGCATTTATGCAGTAAATGTACAACTGCTCATTACGCTGTTGAAGTTCATAGGATGGACTACGTACTGTAAATATAAACTTTCCCTAATTTTCCTTGTAATGCTGCTTGGCACTTCTGATGCTACTGTTGCAGATTTCTAGTAGTCTCAACTCCTGCGCATTGTCTTTCTGTAATGGCTTTTCTTAACACATTGCAACAAAGGCTTTACATTAGAAGAAGCTAACAGAAGCTGAACAGGCCTGAACAGCAAAGGGCAGCTTTTCTCTGCTGGTTGAAGACAGTGCAGAACAAACAGCTTATATTACCTCTCATAAGACCCGAACTGTTCAAGAATTGCTCACTGTTTCATCTCCCCTTTACATTAAACTCTCTTGTATGGGAAATCAAGCTGTAGGGTTATGTGTGTGCCGGTGTGTGTTACACAAACCTCATAAACAGTATTATGGTCAGTTTCAAGCTGCATCTCCAGCTCGTATGAACGCTGCTTCTGCTGATTCAGCTCTGCTCTGAAATACACAGGAAAAAAGAAAGAACTAAGCCACCTCTCAAAGACAAAACATTTGTACAGCTTTATTTGTGAGTGTTTTAATATGTTAATTTTCCAATGCATCTCAGCCTAGTACAACTGTTGCTGAGGGCAAAACAACTTCAAGTGATAGTGATTGTTTTAACTATGATCAAAATCTTTGTTGTCCACTTCAGTTCTCCCTTTATGCTGTGTTCACACTATGAGCAACTTAACAACAGGCTACAGACAGAGGTGTATCCATATTGATTCTTAAAAAAATAAAATAAAATATCCAATTAACTCACACTTAATCACTACCAACCCAGATGGCAAATTTATAATTTTAAATACATCAATCAGCAACATAAATCTGACCACAGCAAATTCGCACCCCTACTTTCATAGTTTTTTTTTTTTACATCATTAGGTAATTTCACAGACTCCAGAATAATGACTGGGGTGATTTTAGTCCTCAACTCAGCAGGATCACTCACTGATCAGGAACAGCAAACAGAAAACGGCACTCAACAGAGAGACAATTAAACAGTATATGGAGGAGTTCAGACTTAGTGACAGTTGGCGACTACATAACCTGACAACATAAGAATTCTCAATAATGGAGATTTTTGCCACATTTTGAGTAAATATCCAATCAGGGTTGATGATGAATGTCAATTAAATGGGAATGGGAAGCAAATAATTCCTAAGTGTGTGCTGCATTGACAGGAAAGTTGAGTTTTTCTTAGTTTTCCTTCTTGCAGTATAAACAAACCTGCTCAGCACGTGGAAGTGGGCATCTAAAACACGGCTATGCTTACAAAAAGTTAAGTGGTCTGAAATTACGTACTGCACTTTTCGACTAGGACAGTGGAAAAATTACATAAATTCAATTACACTACTGATATCAACCACACCAGAAAAAAATGACAAATTCAGTAACACCATAGCGTTATACAACAAAAAGCCTTATTGTATTGTGTCTAAGGCTGTGTATCATCACCACAGCCAAAAGCTATTACTTTGTTGGCCAAAGCATAGTGTCAGGTGACAAAAATACTCACTCAACGATCATCTGCCCTCTTAGCCTGCTGGCCTTGGTTGTTTTTTGTTGTTCCATTTTATATACGTGGCCTGGAAATGGTCTAAAGTGATTTTCCAACCAGCCACAGGCCAGTGACTGCCAATTTATTAAAGCTCTTCATTATAACCCAACAGAAACAAAATAAAACTCCCAAAACTGTCATGATTGTGTAGCAGGAAGGAAAAAGGAAGTGATATCACAGCCTTGTCCACCTGAGCAGGAGAGGAAGGAGGAGGGGAAGGTGATAAATTAAGGGACACCTGTGAGACTTGAAGGAGGATGGAAAGGAGAAGTGAAAAAGGAAAAAAAAGAGGAAATAAGTAAAAGGGTGAGCCCAGCACTGGATTAAATGAAAAGACAACAATGAATTAAACCTAGTGACAAAGTGTTACAAGAACTGGCTGGAAATGAACGGTGAGGAAACAACGACCTCAAAGAAAAGCTGATCTCTGGAGTAGGTGGAAACAGACTGGGTCTGACCCGGCCCGAGCCCGTGCACGTTATGTCCGGGACCAGCCTGGCCCGTCCAATTAACTGTAATTATGGGCCCGAGCCAGATTTAAACCCGACATTTTTCAACAAGTTGGCTGTTATAATTAACGCTAAGGACACACCGAGCGCGTTAGTGCCGCGGAAGTCCTGCGAGTGTACTCGCAGGTGCTTGACTGTCCACACAGGCAGCGCATTTCTCCTGCGCTCTCCGCGCCGGTTAAACATCGACTCCACTCGTCTGTTCCTGTCAGTACTCATTTTTTCACTTCAACAGGTCATTTTAAACATGGGTAAGTCCATATTTTCATTGTTTTTTATAACGTAATAAGTTAATGACAATTTGTCATTCCATGTCCATGTATTGAGCGTGTTGGCTAAACACTGAATGAATAGGGCATATTTTTTGGAGGCACGGAAAGCTGCTGTCCCTCCCACTTATCTCTACCACGCCCCCTCTCTCTCTCTTTCTGTATGTGTGAATTGCAACCCCCAACCTGTCCCGGCCCGACCCGAGGGGCCGGGACCGAGAATCTAAGCTCTACTTTTTTTGATTAATAAAGTGAATAAACTTAAACTTAAACTTAACTAAACTTACGATATAATGACGAAGACTCTGTCTGTGGGTGTGTGTGGGTGTCTGTTCCACGTTTTTCTCCTCACCGACTTGGTCAATCCATGTGAAATTTAGCCCAGTGGTAGAGGGTCATGGGAGGATGCGAATGAAGCAATATAACATCAATTGGCCAAAGGAGGGACGCCAAAGCAACCAATTGAAATTGCAGACTTTGAATGGGCATATCTCATGCCCCGTGTGTCGTAGAGACATGAAACTTTGCGAGATATATCACCCTATATATAGAGATGCCTCGCCTCATGAGGAACAAATTTGCCTCAATAACCCATAACTTCAGGTTATATAGATTTTCCGCCATTTTGAATTTTTAAAAAAACACTTAAAATCAATCTCTTCCTAGGAAGTTTGACCGATCTGCATGAAACTAAATATCTAAAGTTCCCTCTTGGCAAAAGTTGTAAAACTTACTAAAACTGAGCTTCTATAACGCAATGAATATTGCGGAGGCTCATTGCATAAAGGTGTATAACATCTCAAGGGTTTCACCGATCACCACACAACTTTGTAGGCATATGACCACACATAATCTGAGGGGACCCTCCATTATTGACCCGATCAAACAAAATGGGGGTGCTAGAGAGCTAATTTCTCATCTAGGCCTAACCGCCATTTCGATTTTTACTAAACTTGGTAGATATGTAGAAAAGGACGCCTCAAGGTGACTGGAGAAATTGAACTCTAATTGGCAACTGGGTGGTGCTTTAACAACAGAAAAATGCTTAAAAATGGCTAAAATGTGACCGAATTTTTGGTATGACTAAGTCATAGTATGGTATGCTGTTTGACACTATTGACCTTCAAATTCTGCTACAGAGAATGGAACACTTAATTGGCCTAAAAGGTTCTGCACTAAGCTGGTTTAAATCTTATTTATATGATCGTTTTCAGTTTGTTCACGTTCATAATGAATCATTCTTACGTATTAACGTTTGTTTTGGAGTTCCGCAAGGTTCTGTGCTCGGACCAATCCTATTTACTCTATATATGCTTCCTTTAGGTAACATCATTAGAAATCACTCTGTAAATTTCCATTGTTATGCAGATGATACACAGTTGCATTTACCTATGAAGCCAGAAGAAAGTAATCAATTAACTAAACTTCATAATTGCCTTAAAGACATAAAAACCTGGATGAGCACCAATTTCCTGATGTTAAATTCAGACAAAACTGAAGTTATTGTTCTTGGCCACAAACAACTCAGAGACTCTTTATCTGATGACATAGTTTCTCTAGATGGCATTGCTCTGGCCTCTAGCACTACCATAAGAAACCTCGGAGTAACATTTGATCAAGATTAGACCGTAGACACGGTTGAGTAGGTAGATGATGGCGTCCTCAACTATTAGTTGGGGCTGATAGGCGAACTGGAGGGGGTCCAAAAGTGGTTTGACCATGGCCAGAGCTGCTCCAAGACGAGTCTCTCCAGGGTCTTCATGATGTGGGAGGTCAATGCCACGGGTCTGTAGTCCTTGGAGCCACTGGGGCGCGACGTCTTTGGCACAGGAACGAGGCAATCAATCAATCAATTCAATCAATTTTATTTATAAAGCCCAATATCACAAATCACAATTTGCCTCACAGGGCTTTACAGCATACGACATCCCTCTGTCCTTATGACCCTTGCAGCGGATAAGGAAAAACTCCCCAAAACAACCCCTTTAACGGGGAAAAAAACGGTAGAAACCTCAGGAAGAGAAACTGAGGAGGGATCCCCATGTGGCTCACAGAGTGCCTGCCAGTCTGTCACCCCGAAACAGCTCTGCAGTGTCTCATAAGCCTCCTCCGACCATCTCCTCACTGTCCTCATGGTCACAGGCTGGCTCTTGACTAGTGGTACATAGCAGGGGTTGAGGTGCACCAGGTTGTGGTCTGACCTACCCAGAGGGGGGAGGGGGGAGCAGCTGTATGCATCTTTGGTATTTGCATACAGCAAGTCCAGTGTTCTCTCCTCTCTGGTAAGACAGCTCACATACTGTGTAAATGTGGACTAAATGTTTAGTCTGCAGGCGGGCTATGGTGGAGTGAATGACGTCACATGCTGACGTCGGGTTGGCAGAGGGGAGGGTGTAAACAGTTACAATAATGGCATGTGAAAACTCCCTGGGCAAATAATACGGCCTGAGTCCAACAGCAAACAGTTCAATGTCCGGGCAGGACTGCACCAGCGGTTATTTACTAGAACGGCAAGCCCCCCTCCTTTGCGCTTACCGCTCTCGGTGCAGTTCTGGTCGGCCCGAACAGTCTGAAAGCCGCTGATGGAGACGTTGTTGTCGGGAATGTCCTGGTGAAGCCATGTCTCAGTGAAGCACATAGGACTACATTCCCGGTACTCCTTCTGACTCTTGGCCACCGCTGTCAGCTCGTCCATCTTATTTGCCAGCGACTTCACGTTGCCCATGACGAGAGAGGGGAGACACGGCTTATATCTTCTCGTCTCCATAAGCCTCCGTTGTCTCAACCCTGCTTTTTTCCGCTGCTGTTTACTTCCTCCCCTGCATCCTCTGTGTGTTTTCCTCCACAGTTCAGCTAGTATCTCTGATGTTCCAGCTGCCAAGCTGGCCGGCCTCAGCGCAATCAGCTGATCTCTGGAGTAAACAATGCGGCCATGAAGTTGCTGCGCAATGGTGCTGGGTCCGAATGAAATAAGTAATTCCAGAGTGAGGAAAACGAGCACAACTCTCTCAGTCAGCATGTTTGGAGAGGGCGCAGTTTCAAAATGACTGTCACAAAAAAGCAAGCACAAATACCAAACTTAATAAAGCAAAAAAGTAAGAAAACTGAGAAAACAAGCAGGAGCGACTGCAACAGGCTGCACGTGCGGGCGCATGCACACTGAATCGCGTCTATCATTATGCTTATCCATGTGTTCTTGTTTTCTTCTATTTCTTATTACTATCACACTGCCAACTTTACTGAATATTACATTACTTGTTTATATATTCATTATCTTTATGTCTCCAATCCCTTCAGCAAGTACCATGAAGTCTACTTATGTGCCTCTTTTTTCTTCTCTTTTGATCTTTTATGTTTTTCCTTTGTTTCTTCCTCACATTGTTTTTTCTCTTTCTTCATCTTTTTTTGTTCTTTTTCTTCTGCTTTATCGCTATCATTATCATTAACAGCTAAGCTCTTCTATAGACTGTATCAGAGAACCTATTCCTGCCTTTATGTATTTATTTTGTCTCTTCTTTGGATTGCCTCCTGCTCCATAAGTCCTTTTTGCTATCATCTTCAATGTTGTTGTATTAAAGGCGCTGTATGTAAGAATGTGGCCAAAACGGTTACTGCACTCAAATTCAAAATACTGCCGCAAGTCCTGTCCGCCCCCCCTCCCCTACAGATTCGAGGTTGCTGGACAGCGGCACGCTGGAGACTGATTTGTTTGCCCACGGGCGGCTGCCGTGGCAGGGTTGCGTCGCCGCGTCCTTGATCTTCGGTTTTCCAGCGGACCGTTCGAGCAAGTCCGGCTTCTCTGCTGCTAACGCTGCTACCGGGATACAGCTGAGGAGAAGCCGGCTGCTAATGTTATGTACCGGGACACTGCTAAGGCTACTTGCCGTGCTGCTGTAGCTCAGTCGTAACTGTAACTGATGCTGGGACTCTACTGACTGTGTGACTGGTAGACGGCGGTGGGTGGCGCAACAGGCCAAAACACAAATTCAAAACATAAACATGATTTGCGGACCGTAAAAATGTTTTTTAAATGCAAATATTCTGGCTGTACTATTGTTGTTGGTGAGATCAGTATGTTACATGAACATTAATCCTTAGTCTCTGTGACATATTAGGATGATTTTACGACTATTTGCTTTAGATTTCTTATATATAGCTCCGGGGCGGCACGGTGGTGTGGTGGTTAGCACTCTCGCCTCACAGCCAGAGGGTTGCCAGTTCGATCCCAGGCGTGGGAGCCCTTCTGTGTGGAGTTTGCATGTTCTCCCCGTGTCAGCGTGGGTTCTTTCCGGGCACTCGGGCTTCCTCCCACAGTCCAAAGACATGCAGATTGGGGACTAGGTTAATTGATAACTCTAAATTGTCCGTAGATGTGAATGTGAGTGTGAATGGTTGTTTGTCTCTATGTGTCAGCCCTGCGATAGTCTGGCGACCTGTCCAGGGTGTACCCTGCCTCTCGCCCGATGTCAGCTGGGACCCTCAAGAGGATGAAGCGGTTAGAAGATGAATGAATGAATGAATATATAGCTCCTTTAACTACGTACTTACCAACAACCATTACTCATGCGCATTACCCCACTGACAGAAACACACATACACCGTCACATACTGTGATGGCTAAAGGCCCGAACATACTCGGGCGGAACGTACGGGGAACGGACTCTGCGGAGGTCTGCGCAGACTCAAAGTGGACGTCCGCAAGCCCTGTGCACGCAAAGCTCAAATTTTACGACCGCGCGAACTCCGCTCTGCGCACCAGTGACTGCTCGGCATGTATTTTTCACATTGCGGGGATTTTTCACGGACATTTTAACAGGAAACTACAACGCGGAAGTGCGCTCAACTATGAAAGCCCGAATGACTGCGGACATTCCTCGCAGAGTCTGCTCCGCTTATAGCACGCCCGAGTATGTTCGGGCCTTAAGCCTGCCAGGCTGCACATTCACCCTCACTCCTCCACAATCCATTCACTAAATACACATTCATTATCTGAAGGCCTCATTTCAACTGAGTTGCTCAGCTGGCGCGTACACTGAAAAGTTTTTCATCTTCTGGGTTTACTTTCGCAGTATACAGTTCACTAATTCTGAGCACCAGTGTTTCTCCGGCTGACCCTGCCTGCGAGTTCCCACTCGCCTCACAGACTTTGAAGCATTGTGATGATGTCACAGATTTTTAATTTGATGGGGTTTTTTTTTTAGCTTAAGGAAAGTTTTACAAACAGTTTTACAGCCGCTTCTCTTTCAATGATGGTCTATGGTAAAAATGCTTTTTGGGCCACATAGGATGTTTTGGCTGGAAAACCCTGAGTGGAGATAGGAACACACGACATCAGACCAGACCTTTTCAGACCTGTTGACTAAGGTGTGAAGATCTGTGACTAGTCAGTTAATTGAACTATAACCCAACCATATTGGTTTGTGGGAAATATATGGTTGGGTGGGAAGTTTTCTTTTGAATTGAACTGAACTGAACTAAAATGAAAGACTGATTAAGTGACTATGATTGAAATCCTGTAGGTACTGGGAAAACCTGAAACAGAGTTTCTGTGAATTGTTACATTTCAACTGTGCTTTTGGATGAACTGTTGGACGGACACACCTACAGATTAACTGACTTTAATTGTGAATATATTTGTTGTTGCATTTAAAAATATGTGGTTTTGGGATTTGTTTGAGAGGATGTAAGTCAACTGGGGCATTTGAGTCACACTGCAATGTTTAAAGGATTCATAAGGTGTATTTTACATGAGGCTCTGACCTGAATTGCACCCCAGCAACCCTAAATCAAACCGTTACATAAAAAATGACACTCTGGATTAAAAAGACAAAGAACTACATTGCAAAGGAAATTCGCAAAACTAATGGTGTACACACCCATATCACTAAATCTAAATTCGTTAATATGAAACAAAACAGTTTAAGGAGGATAAACATAATCACATTAACTATTCAAACAAATCACACTAAAAATACACCAGCAGCACCCCGTTATCTCCCTCCAACATATCACCCAAACTTGCCCCTATCCCTCCCTCCACTCCCATCAAGTATCACCATCTCTTAAGATAATAAATACTGTCACCTTGTCCTTAAGCAGTATCAGAGGAAAGTACTGTATTGCACTCAAAGAGTATTGTATTCACTTTTCATGTTATTTTAAACTGAATCATATTTTGGATCATAACAGTTTTGTCATAGCAGTCGGTCAGTAATTTAGTTTCCATTAGAATACTTATTATTGTATGCTTCATTTCTCTGGGTTTATTTGAGCAGAAAACTTTTGCTCAACCAGCCAATTGGCAATTTCTTAAAATTTCTGTTCCCTTTCTTTTTTCTTAATGATTTCAAGTGGCAAACCTTTAGTCCTGAAGCACAGAACGTGTTTTGGATGTTTTTTTCATTCTTTACTAATGTTAAAGGTACCTTGCCAAATTCTTACTTGAGGCATGTGATTTTAGTGTTGAAGACCTGAACAAGGTTCTTGGCCTCTTCTTTCCAGCGTTGAGTACTTTTCTGTTGTGCTGTAAGGAGGCGCGTCAGATCATCATTGGAGCTCCGGCTGCTTTCGTCCAGCTCGTGCATGCGTGTGTAGAGTCCCTGCTCCTTCAGGCAGTACTCCTGCTCCATCTGTGACAGCTGGGTGGAGGGCAGAAGAGTAAGGTGGGGCAAAAAAGGTTACTTTGCTGGTTAGGGTTTTATTATATTTTATGCCTACATTTGTCCCTCCTATACATCAAGGAGATACCTACTGGCTATGAATGGCGACGGTAATGTTAGTTATTGTGTGAGCTCCTGTGCACAGTCTTTTCTAATAAGATAATCATCGCTTATTCCTATAACTGGTAAATTTGTGGCTTAACAGCAACAAAGGGGATAGTGTAATAACAAGAAGCATCAGCAAGATGTAATGAATATGCAAAACATTCAAATAAAAACCTCCACTGCCTTGCTTTTCTCTCCCTCCTCATCCACTTTTCATGCATATACTCCATCGCAAATTAATACGGATGCGATAGAATTCAAAAGCCTGAGAAACATTTGAAACCAGGTAAATAATCATCCATGAAATTGAAAAACTTTCAGACAACACTCAAATTTTCTGTAAACTGCTCCCAGTTATTATACTCTCCAAATCACACACACACATCCTCTGATATTTCAAACAGAGACTTCTGCTTAAAGAGGCAATAACAAACAGACTGGATCACATCAAAGGTAAAGAGACACTCAAGGCACTTATAATAACAATCTGAGCAGCTCTGTGTCAAAAATAACCACTTTCAATGGACATAAAACTATGGCCACTGACGATGTTCAGTTACCCTGTGTGCTTCCATTACAGCCTGTTGCAATGCCAGCCACTGCCTGCCCCCCTCATACTGGAACAATTTCAAAAACTGTTGTTCACATTGGTGTCTTTGATCAATATACATGGGTAAATAGGGTCCAGGTTGAAAAATGCCTAAGTAATCCCTTAACACAACCCTCTTCTCCCCTCTTCTGCTTCAGTCAGGGATGTGTTAAGGGTACATCCCCATGTGACTGGTGGAGACTGCACAGCCTTCAGCCACTATCAGAGCCAAGCTCCACTGATAAAGATAGTTTGTAAAACATTCTATCTGCACTGATTACCAAAAAGGAGAATTTTGTTATTGTGGTGGCAACTGTTCCAACATTTTAACATGTTAATATTCACTCCAGTTTTTAATCAGTGTCTTACTTCCACCTCTTCCACAACAGAAGAGGTAATCAAGCCGAGCAAATCCACAAGCATCTCTATCATCAAGGGGGAACTGTCAGACCAACGCTTTCACATTGGCGATGCTATTCCAACTGTCTCTGAGAAGCCTGTGAAGAGCCTAGGTTGACGGTGCGATGCCTCCCTCAAAGACAAAGAGCAAATAGATCAGCTCAGGCCACTAACCCTTTATGAAGTTCCGATCTCAAAGGTGGAAAAGCTGGAGAAGCTGGTCAGCTCATATGCAAGGAAGTGGCTTGGCCTTCCCAGGTGCATCGGCAGTATTGGGCTATATGGCAAGGGAATGTTAGACCTGCCCATTTCCAGTCTATCAGAGGAGTACATGTGCACCAAAGTAAGACTGGAGATGATGCTACTGGATTCGAGTGATCTATTTGTAGCCCAAGCTGCCCCCATCCTGGCAAATGGGAGGAAATGGACTCCACTGGCTGCAACTGAGCAGGCAAAGGCAGCACTAAAGCACAAGGACACAAGGCACAAGTGCGCAAAGGCCGTGGAGCAGGCAAAGCAAGGGCAGTGGATGACATGGGAAGGAGTGGAGAAGAGGAAGATCTACTTGCAAGAGCTGTGGGAAATGGGGGCATTCAGGGCAAGCTCTACCATCAGGGCTGCCTACGATGTCCTTCCATCTCTCAAAAACCTCAGCCAGTGGTATGGTGAAGACCCCACATGCCCATTCTGTTCGAGTCCAGCAACACTTAAGCACATCTTGGTGGGCTGCAAGACCAGCCTCACCCAAGGCTGTTACACCGGCGGCACAACCAGGTGTTAAAATGTCTTGCAGCAGTGTTAGAAACTCGACAGACGTGTCAACGCCTCCCCCGTCATTCCGCTGGTAGGCAACAACATTTGTCCGGGAGGTCGAGGGTCAAGCCAGTCTCACCACCTCAAGACCAGACACTGGGCAGCTAGGCAGGGCATGGGATTGGAAGCTGCTGGCAGACTTAGGCGAGAAGCTCTGTTTTCCAGCTGAGATCACGTCCACCAACCTACGACCAGAGCTTGTGCTATGGTCAGCCTCGCTCAGGCATGTGTGCATTATCGAGCTGACAGTGCCCTGGGAGAGTGCAGTGGAGGAGGCCTACGAGCGCAAGAAGCTGAGGTACGCTGAGCTTGCACGCAATGTGCAACAACAAGACTGGACAGCGAAGGTATGACCAGTGGAAGTTGACTGCAGAGGGTTCGTAGCCACCTCATGATCCAGGCTACTCCGGGAGATGGGAATGCGAGGGAAGGCCCACCGACAGGCAGTGAAGGACCTCTCCAGAGCCACTAAAAAGGGGAGTCAGTGGCTTTGGATAAAGAGCAAGGACTCCACCTGGGTCCTCAAATGAGTAGATGGCATCTAGGGGGTGAACCTGCGATGCTGGGATTCACTGCTGAACCCTATGGAGGTGTTGTGGGCCAATTAGCAAAACACCAAGGAAGGAGGTCACCCACTTGATTACCCAGAGGATGCCATCTCTCACTTGAAGTGTGCAATAAGGGATATTAACATCTAGTCCTACACAACAGATCTCTTTCCTCTGTCCAAAATTGTCATTGTGCCAGCAGCTGGTTGGTTAGTTAGCTAGCTAACTTGCTAATTTCACCATGCTTTTATGCTAACATTAGAGTGGTTACAGAAAATAAGCCAAACAAGTTATGGCCTGTACTCATCTGATGATAGCAATGTGCTTTCCTATGGTGTGACAAGAGTGCGTTAATGAATCATTAAGTAGTTTCATATGACTCATATTGCAGATGGCTAGTTAGCTATCTAGCCTGTTAATTCCACCACGCTCTTGTGCTACACTGGTTAAGAGTAAATGAGGAATACAGTAACACAAGACTAGACTCAGTCTGTCACAGCCGGTTCATTTCGAAAGAGCAATGGCCAATGGGGCAACACCCACTCTCACATCATCACTTACTTGCCAAAAAGGAAAAAATAATTTCACAGAGGTATACAAAATACACAATAAACAATAATGCAATTATAGTAGTGCATGCAGAGCTGTGACCCGGAAGAGCCTCCTGTAGGTGTTGTGTTTTTTTTGTGTGTACTTGCATCTAGTTTCATGTCTAACTATTTTTAACTTTTTGGATGGTTCTTACAACAGAGGACAGAGAGTCAACTACACCCATTACCTCCTTCCAAGCCTTTGATTTACCTGTCTCTGACACACCACTACTAACATAAGACAATAAAATGTTTTTCTCAACCCCACTTCACCTAAAATAACTTTAATCTCAGCGTTTGACAAGTTTTTCTTTTTCTCTCTCTCTCTCTTTCTTTGTTTGGTCCATGTTTGCAGGTCGACAGAATGCACCTGTCCATAGTAGCCTAATTATCACCTCCATATATGTCTGTGACCCCCGTTCAACCCAAAACCGCCAGGAGTTGCCTTTCCTTTCTGCTACTGGTTGAAATGTGATAATAGGGTCACCCCAGCGCCCACTCCACTAACTTGATGTGGAAATGAGTGGTAGATTAGAAAACTGGCGAGTTTTTTTTTTTTTTGGAGGGCGCTCGTGTGTCGCCCACACTGCCCATAGCAAAAACCGTTCCTGCGAACGGTCCTGCAGGGAGAACGGAGCAGGCTTCCCTGGAGGTCTGCCGCTTTTCCAAGTCCCTCTTCTCTGCCACACTTTGACTTATTCCCACCCAGCTGACAGCCTGGCCATGGAGAACGGTCCCTAACTGTGGGGAGAACGGAGCAGGCTTCCCCGGAGGTCCGCTGCTTTTCCCGGTCCGTCTCCTCCACACTTTGACTTATTTCCACACTGCTGACAGTGGGACTTATATTCATTGTGCCGACAGTGGCTTGGAAAACCACACAAAACCATGTCACACGGAGAAGAGGGAAGAGGGAAGGCGCCTGGGGTTCCTCCAACATTTGCGGTTAGATTATCATATTTTTTAATTGCCAAAAATATAAGCTGCTTCGGCCAATTTTTTTATGCGCACGTGCCCCTAAATAATTTTTACAGTTCGCACACACCTATTTTTAGTTGCAAATGCGAGTGAAACGCTCGCACTGTCGAGCCCTGTCTCCTGCAGACAGAAGTGAGTAGACTCTCACAACACAAACGGTTTGTTTGAAGGGGAGAAGGGGAGTCTTTGTTGGTTTGCTGCGGTCAGGAAAACGTCACTGCAACCCACTTGAGGGCGGGTGGCCTGGCTTTTGGGCCTACTCCAAAAAAGGTCCTTGTCTGGCGCAGGTCGACATGGCATGGCACGTCTAAACTGATGATGCAAATGCAAATCGGCGCAGCATGGCTTGACGTGGCGTGGCCAAAAGTGACAGTGGAAAAGGCCCACAGTATTGTACGTGTGCTACTGCGGTCATTTCATTCATCTCACAGACTGATTTAGCTTAGCATGTGCAACTTATAGACAGATGTCGCACACTAGACTAATTGACACACAGATTAACCACTTGCTCTCCACACCCATTTTGTTGCGAAAACACCTAAAATGACATACCCAAATTAAAATGACTGTAGTGTCTGAACCGCTCTGACTACAGAAACACTCTAGGTGATACAGAGAAAGAGTAATGGGCCTCTGAAGTCAGTAAAAAGTTGAAGATTTTGCCTAAAATAAAATAAAAAATGATTTTCAGGATGAATAACTGTCTGTGGCTTCATCTGAGCAGGTAAATGACACTGTGGGGCTGTAGGCACACTATTCAAATAAAAACAATAAGTTTGTGCTCTAGAAAAGGATCAGCACTCAGTGAATAACCTCCTAAGCCCTATGATAAGCTATTATGGCAAGGCTTAACTATACAGACCAGTGAGCAGTGATAACTAACATGTCTTTGGGGTCATCGGGTGGGAACCTCCTTTCACCAGTGTTTCGTCTAGTTGGTCCCACGACACCTCCAGGAGG